AGGTGTAATAAGTGCCGTTCCCCTCCTCTTTAAATGACACAGGCTTGCTTCTATGTTGTTGAGGCTCATCTCAAGCTCTTGTGCTTAAGTGATTTACCCATCTCAGCTTCCCCAAAGTTGCTGAGACATGCTACCACCACATCTGGTTCCGGTGCATTTTGAAGTATTTCAAGTTTAACATGAATATATTTGGAGGAGTAGTTTTAGAGCAATATCTGTATTCTTGTGTGGTGAGGAATATTTGCATCTTTATTACTATATCCTGACAAGTGTTGTATATGACAATGTACTCTTTTTTTTCAAGACAGGGTTTCTCTGTGTAGCTTTGGAGCCTATCCTGGCACTCGATCTGGAGACCAGGCTGGCCTTGACCTCATAGAGCCCCGCCTGCCTCTGCCTCCCGAGTGCTGGGATTAAAGGTGTGCGCCACCAATGCCCGGCGACAATGTACTCTTAAGTTGAACATGTGTGTCAAGTGATGCCTGAAGGGAAGAAATAAGAAAAAGTACTAGTGTCTAGTTACTAATACTTTTAAGTGCTCTCTCTCTCTCTCTCTCTCTCTCTCTCTCTCTCTCTCTCCCTCCCTCCCTCCCTCCCTCCCTTCCTCCCTCCTTTTTTTAATGTGTATGGGTATTTTGCTTGCATGTATGTCATCCACCACATTGTATGCCTGGTGCATGATCCCTAAGGAGGCCAAATGAGGGAGTTCAGTCCTCTGGAACTGGAGTTACATAGCCAGTTGCCAGCTGCCATGTGGGTTCTGAGAATCAAACCTGGGTGTCTCTTACCACTATGACATCTCTCCAGCTCAGGCTCACGAATCTTAACTTTTTTTTTTTTAAAGTTAAAAAATTTCAAATATTTGGGCTGCTTTTAATCTTAAAGTGAAAGAAAGAATAACAAAGATTTTTTACGTTTTGTAGTAAGCTGGGCAGATTGCCATGTGGCAGGGCAAGAAAAGTAGAAAAAGAGTATACACTTTTTAACAGGCATTCTCCATTTCTTGATTTAATTCCTCTGGATCCCTAGGGTGTGGAATGGTGTCTTTCATATTCATGGTAGGTCTTTCTCCTTTGGAAAGCCCTCACAGACACATCCAGGTGCGTCTCATGGATCTCCTGGGGGGTGATTCTAAATCCTGTCATGTTGACAGTAAAGATTAACCATCACAAAGAATGAAGGAAATTGAAATTTTTTTCTTCCTAATATATGTTTCTACCCTCCTGACTTGTGTGTATTTTTGTCACAATTTACTCTGGTGCCATGCATGCTTCTTTAAATTTTTTTGTCTTCTTGATTGCTATTTCTGTGAGGATAATGCCTGTCTTTTTTAATCTTGAATCTTGAATGTATACTTACAGTGCTAATGCCTACCACATAACAGGTACCCCAGTATGTGATTATTAGTGATAACTTTTATTGGAATAGCATTTTATTTTGTTCATATTCGTAATAGTCAAATTGTATAAGTGTACCTGTCTTCTATTACACACATATCTTAAGAGAATGTTTCCCTTTTATATTTCCTCATTTTATCCAAATGTCTTCTGTCTGTGTAATAAATGTACAACCTGGATTAAGTCTGTTTTTAAAAATGATAAGATTGTTATGTTTTGATGTTTTTCTGAAGTGGACTGTATATATTATTTGGTATTTTCTGGCCAGAAAACATGACGTGGTGTGGGCTGTTTGTTGGTTTGTTTTTTCCCAATTTAATACTTGGTTGTGTGAGATAGAGTGCAGAGTATTTTATCTTATGCATGAGGAAACTCAGGATTAGTATTTTAAACAGCTTAAGATCCCACACTTATCTGATAGTGAAGTTGGGACTGTTACCAGACATAGGGTTATAGCTTGTGTCCAAACAAGCCAGGTTCTATCACTCGTCCTCAGAAGCCAATTAAAAGAGCCAAATTAAAAGTGAAAAGCATATAAAGGAGATTTATTTAATGTGGCCACATTGGGAAGGGGGACAAAGAGAACAAGTGGGACCCCTTCTTTTCAGGTCTATGTAGAAGGGCAGTGGCTCTCAACCTTCCTAATACTGTGACCCTTTAATACAGTTCTTCATATTGTGGTGATCTCCTACCATAAAATTATTTTCTTTGTTACTTCATAACTGTAATTTTGCTACTGTTCTGACTTTTAAATAGCTGATACACATCCCCCAAAGTGGTTGTGGCCCACATGTGGAGAACTACTGTTCTAGGGTCTTGCACACCAGTGTCAGTTTAAATAGAAGGCATGACATATACATAAGTAACTACTGTGACCACCTCTTTCTCAGCTCTGGTATCTCATGCAAGTTCTAAGTTTTTCCTCAAGTTTCTCTTCTGGCTGCCTTTAGTGAGAGGAGATTCCTGGTGGAATTCTAAATTCTTGGGGTCCATTGTTCAGTGATCTGATAGCTGAAGGGTGGGATACAAGGACAAGCTGGTTATAGGACTTCAACCCAGGCTTGTTAGTACTTCAAGTTTCATGTTTAATTCTAGTTTTAAAAGCTTTTATTTGGGGTCAGCAAGGAGCTTAGTCTCTGAATTCTACCCTCCTACCCTCCACATGGTGGAAGGAGAGAACTGACTTCTACAAATCTCATAGATGTGAGGAGAAAGACTCAAATTATGGGCCAAATTAAAGCAAGCTTTTTATTCACGTACACAGGCTGTCTTCCCTAAAAGTGGGGTTCAAACTTTGTATGTGGGAAAGATAAGTTATAGTTCAGGAGTAGGGGGTTTCCACAGGCAAATAGGTGGGCTTACAGAAGTGGAACATAAAAGCCTGGCGTTGGTGGCGCACACCTTTGATCCCAGCACTCGGGAGGCAGAGGCAAGCCTGGTCTCCTGAGCGAGTGCCAGGATAGGCTCCAAAGCTATACATGTTATTGTTTTGTTTAAAAAGAAGAAAAGGGAAATGCTGAGACAGACATATTGACTATAAGTTTATTATAAGGCCCGGTAGAATGGGGAGACTAAGAAGAGGAACAGGGGTAAATGGCTGACCGCCATGGCCGGTTGCCATAGAGAGACAGAGCGAGCGCATAAGTGGGAGACATAGTAGAGAGGAAGCTGAGCGGAAACAGAGAGCGTAAATGCGCAGAGACCTGTCTTTTAAAGGGGCCCTCTGCACCTGCGTGCAGACTTAGTTCCCATGGAACCTTGGGCTGACCAGGGTACTGCTGGTGGTAACAGGGGCAGGCCAGCATTATAACTGAACCTTTCAACACAGAGAAACCCTGTCTCGAAAAACCAAGAAAAAAAGAGTACATTGTCATATACAACACTTTACAACAGTGAAAAATAAGCATTACAAGTTGGTTGTAACAACCTCCTGAAACAAAGACATGGTTGCAAGGTAATCATAGCAAGGCATAACAAGGTGGTCACAACAAAGATTCATAACTTTTTGGAATAAAGTCAGAAGGTGATCATAACAACTTCATGAAACAAGGCACAGTTGGAACAAGTAATAACTAGCTTTTCTTTAGTAGAAACAAGTTATGCCACACAGATACTAATTTTGAAATAATGTATTTTAGGGTGGCAGCAGATGTTAATTTTGAAATAGATGGTCGGGGGGATAGTGATGTTGTTCTTTGAAACAGTCTCAGTAGCCCAGACTGGCATTGAATTTGCAGTTATTCTTTTGCCCCAGCCTTCTAAGTGCTGGAAGCATAGTTGGGTGTCAGCACACTTGACTATTTTGTTATACTAAATTGTAGTTGGATTATTTTATTTTATTTTATTTTATTTTTTGGGTCCACCAACTATCTCCCAAATAAAGACATGGAAACTTATCATTAATCATGAGTACTCGGCCTTAGCTTAGATTTGTTCTACTAACTCTTTTAACGTAATTTTACCCATTTCTATTCCTCTATGTTTTCCCTTAGGGCTTTTTACTTTTCTTTAATCCTGTATGTCCTATTTTCCCCGCTTCCTCCGTGTCTGGTTGGCTGTCCCCTGTTAACTTTTTTTCTTTCTTCCCCTGAGCCTAAATTTCTCCTCTTTCTTACTCTCCCTGCCCAGAAGTCTCACCTATATCTCCTCCCTCACTGTTGGCTATTCAGCTTTTTATTAGATCAGTCAGGTGCCTTAGGCAAGCAAGGTGAAACAAAGAAACGCAACACATCTTTGCATAGTTAAAAACAGATATTTCACAACATTAAAACAGCATAGTCAATGAAAGAAATATTTTATATTGTGAAGATTTGTTCAATTTCTGTGTATGTAATCTGAAGGTTGTAGTCAGATTGAATGAAAAGTGAACTGTTGGGTATTAAATGGTGGCTGTTCTTAACTACAAAGATTGCATGAATTTTCACCTAATTCAGTTACGTTCTTCATGCTTGTAGGGAAGATGGATAATGTTTGATTTGAGAATAGGTTTATTTGTATCAACAGATACTTTTTTTTGCTGTTTTTTTTTATTTGAATTACAAGATTGAATTACATGACAAATTCCAGTTCCCTTCTCCCTCCCTTCCTCCCCTACCACCTCCCCCAACTAAAATCCTACCTATCATATATCCTTTCTTCTAATCTGCACCTGATCCAACCTTTCTGCTTCCTCATGACCTCTGCATCCTTCCTTTTCTTCCCTTCTCATTCTCGTAGCTCCATCCCCCCTCTTCCCATGTTCTCAATTTGCTCAGGGGATGATGACCCTTTCCCCTTCTCCAGGGGACAAAGTTTGTCTCTTTTAGGGTCCTCCTTGTTTACTATCAACAGAGATACTTTAATAGTTTAGATTTGTAATTTATGGACAGAATTGTCAAAGTGCTCCTTTATTTGATTTGTCAAATATTTTTGGAGTTTTGTAGATGGGAAAGATGTTTATTATGCCTGTATCAGTGGAACTTCTAATAGATACTTAACAAAGGTATTGTATTGAGATATACGAAAAATACAACGATTTTTGTAGATAATGATTTAGTGGAGGAAATATATTCTTAGGATTTTGACCTATCTCTTAAATATTTGTGTTCTTTTATTTCTAGGCTGTTCGCTGCTATGAATCTCTGATCTTAAAAGCTGAAGGAAAAGTGGAGTCTGATTTCTTTTGTCAATTAGGTCATTTCAATCTCTTATTGGAAGATTATCCAAAAGGTAATTTGTTTTTCTATTGATTTCTTTGATTCATATGTGCATTTAAAGTAATGATAATTATACAGGGCACTGCCATTTTTATTTGTAAGCAGCTATAAGCTCATGAGCTACAGTGAACCATAAGAAAAACAGAGTAGATGGGTGGAAGTGGGAAAATGTCATGTGGCTCCAGGTAAATCATCAATAAAATAAATTCAGTAAAAAAAGACCCTCTATACACAAAACTTAACATTGCATTGTGGTTTTGTTTTGCTCCATGAAAATCCCTCCTTTAAATGCTGTTATCTTAGTGTTTGAAATTTAGCTCAGTGGTGGTGCTTGCTTATCAGTTGCAAGATCCCAGTGAGGGGTGAATTGAGAGGAAAAGTTCCTCTAGGGCATATAGGAAAGATAATAAAAAGTTAGTATTCTTTTTTCCTGGTCTTTTCTGTAAATCTTGTCCATCTTAACTAGAAAATATTTGAATAAAACTCTAAGCTATCTATAGTCAATGTGTAGAGAGGAACACATGAGCTTGAACCTTAAAACTAGTTTACTTACTTAAATGCTTTTCATCAAGAAATAATTAAGTTATGTATCTGAATATGGTTAAGTATAAGTAGTCAGTCCTTCGAGATGAGCTGTTTTTCAAGGAACTAAGCTGACAAATTAGACCATTATTCATGCAGGATGTTAAAAAGCTGCCCGACTTCCCTCAGTACAAAAGGGAAATTCCACAGCAAAGGAAAACAGTTCTTACAAGTAATAACATTTAAACTTTGAGTAACACTAAACATCTTTATGCAGTCAGTGGATGCATTTGTTTTCAGCAAATGTGGGCAGACTACTTAATGGAAAGTTTTAGGACGAGAGTAAAGGATTGTTGGTATTTCATATTGCTATCATGCCAATTTTGTGTCAGGTCACATTCACATTTTCCTAATGGAAGTATAACTTTAATCTGAAATATTCATAGTCTGTGAAATTCAAAATCAGACTTATTCCAGTTTAGTCCTATTATTTATAGTTGCAGATTATAAATAAACATCCCCAGTTTTTTGTCTTAAAGTATGTAAAGGCGGAAAGTAGTAGTAGATGATCACTCAGGGACTTTAGGATTGTTAAAGTAATAGTGGCTAATACTGAGCTGTAGTTAAACATAACACTTAAACTGTTCTTCTTTTTTGTTGTTTGCATTTATTTACTTATTTATTTGTGTGTAAGTCATGCACGTGCTGTGGATATTAGAGAACAGCATTTGGAGTCAGTTCTCTTCTTCCACTTTGAGGGTATCTGGGGCTCAGGTTGTCAGGCTGAGTTATCTCACTGGCTAGCCATTTAATGTTTTAACATCAGTTGACGCTGATAGCTTATTTAAAGGAACTATTATATTAGAAATGTATAGAATTCTATGAAATCTTTTTTTTAATACTACACCTTTATACACCGAGAGAGCATATTAGCTTGACAACGCATAAAGAGGGGTCTAGACTTGAACTGCCTACATATTGTGCTTTGTGGCATTTAGTGACATTACTTACCACTAAACCATGTATCTTTTAACTTTTTATTTCTTATTTTAAATCTCATATTTAATTAATTGATTGGTTAATTTATTTTTGTTTGTGTGCGCACGCGCACGCTCTCACTCACTATGATATGGGTGTGGAGGTCAGAGGACAACTTGCAGTTTTTCCCACCTACCATTTGGGCCCTGGAGTTAATCCTGGCCCATTATGCCTGGCAGCAAGTACGTTTCTTTACCTGCTGAGCAATTTTGCTAGCCCTTAACTTTTAAAACTTCATTCTTCATGAATTTAGCTACATTTTAAATTTATAAACTTTTCAGTTAGGGGCTGGTGAGGTAGATAGCTCAGCATTTAAGAACATGTATTGCTTTTCAGGGGATGAAAGCTTGAATCCCAGCACCCACATTAGATGACTCACAAGCACCTGTAACACTAGCTCGGGTTCCAGGAGGGTCTAACACCTTTGGCCTCTTGGGCACCTGCTCTCATGTGTATACAACTGCACGCACACAGAAACATACATGCATGCACATGTGGTTGATGGCTGATGCTTATAGCCCCTCCATTTGGGATGCTGAAGTAGGAGGATTGCTGTGACTTTGATTCCATTGTGGTGACTTCCAGACCTCACCAGGTTACAGACTTGAGATCTTGTCTTATAATACAAATGAGTCAACAAACAAACAAACAAACAGAAAAGGTTGGTCTGTCAAGAAAACAAAGAATTAAGAGGCATTCGGAAATTTTCTTTCTGTTTTGGAAGGTGGGATATGGGCATGTAGTATCTACCCTGTGCTGACAAACGCGTTGGTGGAGCAATCAGTAAGATGGGAGAAGAGAAGGTTACCTAAAGATTTAAATACCCACTTACCGTTGTATAGTTGGCTATTGCTAGAAGTCAGTAGCTTAATTTTTAATAGGAAAGGGAGGAGAATGCGCATATCAGTATATTTCAAACAATAGCTTCTATAGTTCCTAATTATTATGCATTTTTTGAGTTCTTGGGAGTTTGAGAGTTTAAGGGCCATGTTCACTCTTTAAGGTTTTGTTTGTTTGCTTGTTTGTTTTTTAAATATAAGCTCAGTGGTTAAGAGAACTGGTCTGAGTTCTGTTCACAGCACATACAAGGCAGCTAATAACAGTTTGTTTCAGGGCATCTAACACCTCTTCCTTTTTGGAGGTCCTGTACACATATAAATATATAGCATATAAAATAAATTTTAAAAAGCACAAAACCAGCTATTTTTTTCCCCTGTCCATTCTTACTGTTTTTCTAAGACTAAGCCAGTGTTAGGTAGAACACTTCCCTCTGCAGTATATCCACACATACTCAAACCACTACCGCTAATTATAAAGGTATTTGTCTCTCTCCTCGGGTTTACTACTGTCTTTGTAATTGCCACAAGGTAAGAAAAGTGCTGACATTTAATTTTAGGGAACATATTATAAACCATACAATGAACATGTAAATCTGTGAGTACAGTGCTCCAAGTACACATGTGTAGGAGACTTAATTCTTTGTTACTCAGAGAATGATTCTCAGTTGTATACCTGGATTTGTTATTACTTTTTAACAATTCCCTGAACGCAGGATATCCATGAGTTTGGTGTTCTTAAGAAACAAACAAAGCTGGGCAGTGGTAGCACACTCTTCTTAATCTCAGCATTCGAGAGTAAGGGGCTCTTGGATCACCTTGAGTTTGAGGCCAGCCTGGTCCACAAAGCTAGTTCCAGGACAGCCAGGGCTGCACAGAGAAACCCCTCCCTCCAAACAACAAAAAGCCTCACTTGTATACTTGTCATAGCAACTGTAGAGCCTATCTTATGAAGATCTTGGGCTGTGATTTTGCTGTATTTATCATTCTGGTGTCACCTGCTTCCTGTCTTAAATGAATTCTTAAAAATATTTTTGGTTAGTGATAGATATAATATGGTTGTCTAACTACTGACATACATACATGCATACATACTTTTCATTCCAAATGAATTTTATGTAGAAGGAAAAATAGCTTCATAAAAACATTTTCTTAATCTTTTTGATTGGCAATATTTACAGAGAGCTTAAAAAGTTTCTGTCATTTTGCTTCTAGGAATTTATCCTAAAAAGATCAATGGATAGGAGATTCCAGCAAAGTTGAGATTCCCATGGAAGAGAGTGTAGCCTTTATTTAGTGCAGAGTTGACTTTAGGATCACCACCTATGGAAGGTGGAGGCTAGAACTAGTATTGCATTGAGGGAGAAATGAAGCTATAAGAGACTTGTGAGGTAATTTCAGAAAAGTACAATTTAGTTGGAATATAATATTTCTCTTTTTACTCCTTCTTTTAAGTAATTGACCTCTTTCCCTCCTTACCCTTTCCATCCTCTTACCCCTTATCTGTCATATAGTGGCAAAGTAGGTTTGGAATGTTTTACTTCTTAGATAGTTAGAAATTACTAGGACAGTTTGTATGCCAAGATTTGGTACTTTGTAGAAATTTGCCTGAGGTTGCTTTCTTTGATTAAATGACAGTACTCCGTTATGAGATATTAATAGTGTAAACAAAACAAACAAAAAAGGTCTATTTTCTTTCTTTTCTTCTCCTCCTCCTCCTCCTCCTCCTCCTCCTCCTCCTCCTCGGAGACCAGGCTGGCTTGGCACTCACAGAGATCCGCCTGCCTCTGCCTCCTGAGTGCTGGGATTAAAGACATGTTAATTCTACCTATCCAAGAGCATGGGAGATCTTTCCATTTTCTGGTGTCTTCTTTAAGTTCTTTCATTAAAGTCTCAAAGTTCTTATTGTACAGGTCTTTCACTGTTTTGGTTAATGTTACCCCAAGATATTAATGTTGCTTGTGGATATTGTGAAAGGTGATATTTCCCTGATTGCTTTCTCATTGGATTTATCATCTGTATATGGTAGGGCTACTCATTTTTTGAGTTAATTTTGTATCCTGCTACCTTGCTGAAGGTGTTTATC